AATTTTCTAACCCTTTAGATCTAGACCCTCTTGAGGATTTTCCGATTTACTTCATCAAGATTCTCCCATGCAGAAAGGCATATCTTCACTTTAATTCCGAAAACGACGCACTGTTATTTGCCATAACGAATTTGTTGATTTGTTTTAGAAAGAACTAGCTTTTGTCTGATACCAGGAGTAGTGGATGAACGCATGCCCATTACGACGAACCGCCCGCCAAAGTTTTCGTCAAATTGCACCACCGCTTTATATGTATAATGCCACGACTGTTCTTTATAGTTACAAAAGCCTAGTTGATTTAAAAGTAAGTTGTCACTCCGTGCAAATGATGAGTGATGATGAAAGTCTTTCAGCTATAGTTTCAGTCGTCGTGGAAACGAACCCCGGAACACAATTTAGCTAAAGAGTCACTCTCTTTTTAGTCGCTTCTTGTTATAGTTAGAAAGTGTTCCTTCTGCAACGTTGTACCGCGCCTTTAGCGCTTACTATATAACTAAATGTACAAAGGAAATGAACGTTAGAAGAAACGCTGCCCTTCCCGTCCCAGCTGGCTTTTCTAGCTACGGATTCTTTGAGTCCGCAGGCCAAACGAAAAGAGACATGTAAGCAAAAGCATGAGTTTGCTTGCATTCTCTGATAACGATAATAAGAAACAGATTATATTGGCGCTACTCATTCGACTTGCTAACGATACAAACGACACTTGGCCTGCCTCACATGAAATGATGGCATCTCATTAGAGAAGGTCTGTGTGTTACTCTGCGGCTAATCTTAATTCTCGACGTGTTAACCCTAATCCTAATTACTATTTAACTGACTTTGGAAAACTTTTATACAGAACTGAAGCTTTTATACAGAAAAGTAGCATTTTTCATCATCTACTATGGAAATTAAATATACATCAGTGACAAATATTATTTCTACTTTGAGTGAAAGCTGTGCATAAAAGTGGTAAAACAAAAGACTTGTTAAAGATCTGATTTGATGAGGCTGCCGTACATATATATATATATATATATATATATATATATATTGTACAAAAGTTCTACCACCTCTAGTATCGTTTTAACAAGCTCTTATTCTACAGTGCTTTGATCGGACTTCTATTGCCTCCAATTGCTTGAGTTTTCGACCCGTAAGGTTGTGTCTGCCGCTAGCTTTCCATGATGGCGATTCGGAGCAAAACGCTACGAAGTGCAAAACAATGCAGTTGGAATGGAGCGAGACGATACCACATTTATGAAGGATAAACTGTAAAATTAAAATATAAACACGTATTTTCAGAAATATGTGAAATGTCTTTCTGCACCTACTACACCTACTACAATACGATCTAACATAGTTCAGAATGTTCGGCATCAGTTTCTTGATTTCCGAATGAAATTATATAGAGACGCGAAACTCCAGCTCGTAAAACTTATGGCACATTTTTCCTACGGTTTAAGTCAGCTAGCCTCGTTTTACTTGCTTGTTCCGGGCAGGAATGGCATTGCTTAAGTTTGCCATACGTTACCCAACTTATTAGTATTGTCTTTTGCAAGTATTTTCGGTGGAAAATTCGTTCTATCGTGTCACTAGTCGTAGTGCCATATAGTACTCTAGGGAAATGCAACGCCAGCGCTTCTGAGTCATGATATGGATATTAATACTAGATTACACATAGCGGCCGGCTTGAGAAAACGTGAAAAGCGATAGCATCACGCAAGAACACGCCACTTTGTTCCCCACAAAACGCTTCTTATAGCCTTTTTTTAAATCATTGCACTGATGAATTTTCCGTCCTGACACAGGAACCCTTCTATGGCTACCAAATATCAGTTGTTGCATCTTCTCTATTTTATTGGAATGTAAACAACGTTTTCACGTCTTTTCGAACATGTGTGTAATTAATAAGCTACTGAAGGCATTACGTATCATTTTTCGAGTGTCAACTCAGTATACCCTGGTGTAAACATAACAGTGAGCTGAGGGTTATTTTATAAGAACTGAGTAGTTTTTTTTGTCATTCTAAAGTGTTTGGAATTGCTCACAAACTGGCACTCGCATGCCTCTTGCCTGAGTCTCGGTGGAAACCAGCATTAGTAGAAATTGAAAATTAATTATCTCACACATCATTTCTTTTGTTTGCTGCTGCGGTCGTTCATTCTTCGAGCCCGAAAAGCAACGATACTGTATCACTTCAATAGAAGGTAATGGTAGTAGCTTACGTAAGAATTACAAACGTGCACGTTCGACGTGCGTGACAGTACGACATACAGTATCGCTCTATTCGCAAATTGCAACAACTAAAAATCTATAGTAATCTCAGCTTTAGTCTGTTCTTCGTGTGGCAACATCGATAACGGCCAAGATGTCAATACCGTTTTATACAAGGAAAAGCCAATACGTACGAACGTTTCTAAACACTAATTTTAATTTATAATATGGTAATGGATTCATACCGTTTTGCTTCTTAAAACATACACAGTTCTTTTCGCACTCGCTTAAAAGAAATTTGCATGTTAAACTGCAGATTGGAACAGGACCTGTCCGATTGGTTAGATCAATATCAACTGTTCAAGGAGGTTTGAACTCAACTTTTGCGGCGTTTAACATGTAAAAACAAAGTATTAGTTTAATCCTGGAAACTAAGGTCCGTTCAACAGACTTCCTCTGCTCTCAGGGCACTCTGGTATTTGGCAGGTTATAGGCAGTCAATTTAGAAGGACAGACATTGGCGTAAACCAAATTGGCACTATTTTATAGTGCCATGCGCAGTATAACCAGCAATTCTGCAGCCTAGTGCCCAGTTGGCTTATTTTGGTCAGAATAATGCCAACAAGGTTATATATATTTATCCGCAAAAGAAATTCGCTTATACATCGTGCGACCAAAGCTGTGAACAGCATTATATCATTCAGAGGCGGTACAATTTGCAATTGTTGCTTCATATCGATTTAAAGCCTCACAAATGTTCAGTAGCTTCACTAACCGTTTGCTATTGATTACTTTAGAGGTCCAAATACGTTGCCATTCTACATTGACATGAAAAGAGCTTTTATCGTTTCAAACCAGATTCACTACAAAAGTAAACTGGGCACGAGATTTCGCAGGCCGTTTCATGATCTGTTAGAGAACGAGTTTAAAAAAAATGTATAATGTCATACATGCGTTATAAAATTGGTTAGCTTCGTCGTTATGTTTTGACCATTTTGTATGTCCTGAAGTCAAATTGCAACGAGCAGACGAATTTTATAAAAAGCAAAAGGATTTTAAAAGACTAAAGCGGGAAATTTGAAAAACAACTAGAAAAAGCAGCAAATGGTCTCTTTGTACGGGTTCAGAATCTGCAGTATTTGAGGTTTGTTCCGACGGTCATTCCTCTGTCCTCCACAATCTAGATTGTCCTCTAATTTCAGGCGCTTTTCACACCTGTTTATTATTGATACGTGCAAGCAGGAAAACTGTTTTTACCTAACCCAGCGGTTTATGCTGCAAAAACGTTTTTATCAGTAACTTTTATCACTGCTGCCATTACAGCTTAGAATAGAAGTGCGATGAAAAGCTTTACAACCGATCTCAATTGTATGGCGTTTCTAATAGTGACGCTTGCACACCATAATCATGAAGGGTGCTAAAACACTCCTTTTAGAAATCGTGAGTTACAGTGTGGCTTCAGACTACGGAAAAATAGATATGTTCATGCGTTGTCGCGATATCATCGATTCACTTGGATGTAGACGTTATTGAATGCGCAGTATGAGCAAGCAATACTTCTTTCTATGGCCGAGTGATCTGTCAACAATGCTGGAATTTAGGCACTTGGGCAACATATCAACACTTTTGTAATCAAGGGACCCTATACGGATATCACAATTGAATAAAGTAAAACGTTTTCAGTTTCAATCATCATTAAATATCGACAGCCTGATGAGAATGTAATTAGCACGTATTTGTTTTGCTAGTTTTCAAAAATAAATTAGCTGTCACATTGTTGGTTGATATAATAAACTTCCGAATTATTATAATGCTCTATTGTCTTAGACTGTTCTGGGCAAATAATTTCAGTTTCTTGAACCTCGTTCGTAGAACCCATATTTCGGCTCAACAATCATTTTGCTTTTGTTGCAGTAAATAAAAGTATGGGTAAAAGTATCTTGAACTGGTTACCTAGCTGATCAGCACGGATCAGACGTTCTGTTGCTTCTTGACGTTCCATAATCAGACTTTATCTATACACCCAGTGGAAAAATGGGGCTCCGCCATCAAAGCTTGTCTATTATTGCTGTTGCTGTTGCTGCTACTGCTGCTATGTCGTCGTTCTGCGATTGAGCTGAGCGATATGTAAACGTTTACGGAGTTTACAGAAAAAGGACCGTGCCAATCGGTACGGAAGTTCGCAAATGGGCTAACCCAAAAACATACTCATACGCTAGATGACTGCTAATGCTGGGCGTAAAGTTTCATAAACGCAAAACACGATAAAAAGGTGCCTTTTTTTTGCAGTAGCTCAGTGGCCAAAAGCGCTTTGAACGTCTTACAGCAGTTGACTGAGTTTCTCTGTACTAGTAGAAACTGCCTCAGATAAGCCCTGAGTTGATGGCGATAGAAATCTAAAAGCGACCAAAAACTATTAAGTTTATTATTATTACTTTATTATTTCCTATCTATAATGATTCGGGGTGAGTTGCATGTTTAAAAAAAAATTACATTGAGTGTTGAGTCTTCCCTGCAATGTACGGCCCTGTTTGCCTACACACCCGGCGTGATTATTTCTACGACGCAGCCTATCTAGCTGTGCAAGTAGGTCTCTACCTACGACATAGAAACGCACGTCTGGGTATTTTCACATGTGGTTGTCAGCAAGCTCCGCCATAACACTGTGTTATCCTGGTTGGCCTCGATTCGCCTAAATCCCTAGTTACTGGTACAAGATCTAATGTGTCAGCTAAATTCTGAGAAATTTCATCGTGAATCACGATACGCACTAATATCAATACTTTGGCTATATTTTATTACAGGTAAAACGGGCCTGATTGCTGGACCATATTTGACAAGCGTCATTTATTCTGTTAGACGAACAACGTTATACAAACTAGACCCTAACATCTTAGCGAACCTTTATCGTTCAAAAATCCGACAATCTGTCGCTTTAAATCTCAAACAAGTTATCCCAAAGAATGATGGAGCCTGCCTAGATGCTACAATTACCGGCCAGTAGTGGATGTGCGCGTGGTTAAACGATTCGTTTCACAGTCTGGTAGTGTGACGGAACCCCGTCGGAGGAATAAATCGCGCTACTGTTTGTGCGTTTTTCAGTTTCGTGCCGATCTTCGACGGCGTTCCACCATCACCTGACAAGAAAGGACAGTAAGTACTGTGTGTGTGAAGTGTATAGAAGTGGTGTTCTTTCAATTTGATGTTGGAAGAGTAAACTGACGAATGGTGCAGTCGCTACCACGGGAAGCTGTTAGTCGTTGAGATTGAGGGGAAGCCGGCGCGGCCAATACGAAGAGAGTCAATCTCCAGCCAGGTAATGAACATTGGTGGCCATCCTCGCACGCCATTTTCTGTTTGTTGGCGTTGTTATTTTGTAGGCGGCAGGCGACCACGTACTGCTGTCGTGCACGGGTCGCACGCAAACGCGAACCCGCGAACTTCGAACGCGGGGCGCGATCGTCGTTTATGGACGCGTCCCCGTAATTTTAGTCCCTTCAGTCACGCCGTTTGCGATTGGAAAACTTGCAGTGATAGTGGCCAGACCGACGGTAGCAAAGAAGGGGAAAAAGGGGAGGAAGATCATCAAGAAAACTGGACAAAAACGAAAGCCAGCCACAAATACGACGGGACGAAGGGGAAAAGTTGGAGGTGGCGCTACTGCAGAGTGAACTTTCACCGCTAGAGGCAGAAGTAGCAATAGATAAAATAGCGGATACGACTAACGCGACGTTGTGGGAAGAACGGGATCAGCACGAGAAAGATTCATTAGACTGCTTGCTTATAGAGTCAGTGTATCTTCTCGAACGAAAAAATCTGAAAGAGGATCGAAGTAAAACGACAAAGCTAACGAACGGAAGAGTTGGGTGGTACACGCATTTGCCAGCAATTAACAGTCTCATTGTTTTCGCAGGCCATGGCACAGCAAAACGAAGCTTCTACTGATGATGCCCGGTCACCGAATCTAAATGTGTAAGTACAGGATATACGTATAGAACTGTGACATTAGCTAAATAGTTTAAGATTTTTCTAATGGCAAATACAATAGATAATTACAAGCCGGTTAAACTAATAAAAATTTAAAAATATATTAATTAAATAATTATATTATTTTTATTTATAATACATTGTTAAAAAATAATTAATTATTTTGAATTTAGTCAATTTATATTTTTTATTCAGTTTTCTTCTATGCGAAAATAATATTATTTCTCACAGAATTTACCAAAATAATTATAAACTTGAAAAACTTATATACTTAATGACTTGATAAAATATTTTTCAAGTCATTAAGTATATAAGTTCTAACATTCTTTTTTGTATGGAAAATTGTGCTAGATATCTTTTCGAGAATTTTTAATTTTAAAATATCATAGATTTATTCTAATACAAAAGATATTATAAATACTTCTTTGTTTGTGAAAATTTTCGCAATAGTATTTTTCGCTAATGAAATTAATTTTTTTGTAAATAAAAATTAACACTTAAAAGGAGTCAAAATATTTATATTTATTACACAAAAAAAGTATAAACTTTTGATTTAAGGTGAGTGTTTACTTAGAAAAGTATCTGTTTCAAAAATTAACAATAGCATTTTGTTTATAATAATCTCTTATGAAGAAATTAAAATAGATTTCTTTAAAATATATATATATATATATATATATATATATATATATACCTCATTAAATTAAATATTTCCTTTAAATCAAAGATTTTTAAAAAATCGTATTTTTTATTTTAGGGTAATATTACTTTAGAGGCAAACAGAAAACAAAGCTGTGCGATGGTTTATGCGTAGGCACATAATTTCAACTATTAACTTCAAATGCACACATATTTTATATTAAAGTAAGGTACGAGGAGGCGAGTCTCTGGAAAAACTGCTAAAAGCCACTAAGATGATACTGAAGCATGATTATGCATTAGGTGATATTATGATGATACCCTGCCCTTGACTTTGCGCGCTTCCTACCCCGAACGCGAGCAAGGTCTATTATGGGATGCACAGGTTGGGAAACAAAACCAATTCCGTCATATGACTATTTGTTCGAAAACACCTGGTTGATATAAGACTATTTTATTAAGTTATATTAGTGGCAGCTCATAAATTTCCCTAAGACGTTTCATTTCAGATATATCATTGCTAGACGTATGAGTTCCGGTTTTAGCATGTTAGAACACATCCGCGTACGCGTAAGGATTCGTCAACCCCACAAGCTTATTAGGTCCTAAAGCTGTTAGTTTGGGCTGTCTTTTAAGTTGGGTATAGCTACTCGATAACTTCTAGGTAGGTTTGTATATATAGGGCATAAGGAATCAAGGCCATCGATTGTAGCAAAAAAATTCGAATTACCGGAGAAAAAATATTACCTACTTCAGGCGCTATCACATAGCCTTCTAAGTTTCTTCTTTTCTGATTGATTGGGCACTCTACCCTCTCCTCCGCTTTCGGGTTCAAAGTTTCGTAGTTTTGATCTCATTTAAGTTTAAGAGAGAGGAGAACTGCCAGTCAATTCAGCTTCGTAACGTTCGGAAAAAGAGCGCGTTTACTATCCTCGACACTGTCGGTTTTTCGTCTGCACTTCGACTTTTTTTTTTCTAACTTTTCGCCTGCCAAATTTCCCGGTCGGCCTTCATCCTGTATTTTTTCATTTTTTCATGAAGGGCTCTTCATCATTTCTCTGCTGAGGTAGCATAGAAATCTTTAAGGATCTCGAAACCACCAGTCCAAAAGTCAACCAACTTCCACGCTGAGGGCATGAGGTAAAACGAGAAACCCACATTCTTCTTTCGTCTTTCTCCTGACTGATCATTCGTTTCTCTTCTTTTTCTATAGCCCTAATTACCAGAGTTACAGTGTGTTTGGGAGAAGGCGGATGGCACAGCACAGCATCACCAGAAAAGTAGAATTCGCTTTAAAGCCATTTGTTTGTTTCCCTCTGTGCAAGAACGCTCCAGTCTGCAAATGGAAGGGCATCTGTCCCGATGAGGGAGAGCCTATCCTACAGTTCCTTTACGCATCTAATCTCATCTCATCCTATTAACAGCAACGCATCGTAAGAAGTTTCCGTAAGTAAAACTTCTCTCAGACTAGACCGTCACGTCATAATAAGTCGGCTACTTACTCTACTGACATTAATCGGCTGCTTTACTCTTTCATGGTAAATATTTCTACAAACTATTTGATTGTGGCAAACGGTAACTGTACGAGAAACTTACATTTAAAGTCGCCCCGAAGTCTTTGTCTCCTATCGCTTGTTAATCCACGATAGAGACTGATTTAAGTGAGATGTAGCTGTAACGCAGTCCTGTTGGTTGTGGCCACTAACTATCAGCGATCGTACAATGCACGTTCTATGTATGCATGTGTACGTACACCTCGCTCGCGGCATCAATTCTAGAAAGCGTCGGCCTAGCTGGTCGTTAGACGACACGAGCTGGGCAGATGGATGCCTGTATATGCGACGGAAGTTAGTTTTGGCCAAGAGTCTCCGGTCAGGCCTACAGCAGCATGGTAGTACTATAATTTAACCGCAGAAAGGGATAGCTAAAGCCCCTGGAACAACTCCAAGGTGGAGGTGAGGGAAAGGGAAACGGATAGTCTGCAGGAGCGCAAGTTTTAAGCGGAGAACATATGCAGAGAAGATTATGACCAGAATATGGCGAAAAAGGGCAGTCGGAGCAGGCTTATCAAAGCAGAAAGAAGATTCGTTATATAGTCTCCAGACCCCTAAGCCCCGTTTTCTCTTGCCCAAAAAGGTCGGTTGTATGGGCATGGCTCGTAAAAGTGATTTTTGCCCCCCGCATGCCACTGCGAATATTTGCGCTGTCAGGGAAGCATTTGTCAAGCAAACAGCAGGCCCTTCGCTGTCGTTGACTGTTCTACTGTACAAATGGTCAGTGCAGTAAATGGAGCAGTTTCGGCTCGTCTTCGCTCATATTGCCCTTACTGCTACGGCTACTGCTTACTGCTCTGAATGGTCGTCCCGCTGAGTATGCCGGATGGATGAAGATTTAGGAGAAGGTTAACTAGAGATTAAGATTGGTCCTTACTGTTTGACGGCAACCTTAATGGTGGCAAAAGAGGTAGTATCGTTGATTGCGATAACTTAGAATATAATAGCTTTTCTTCATTTATGGTACAGTTAAGATTAATCCGTAATTGATGCTTACGTCTTGAATTTCATTATGCATATAGCCATTGCAAGACCAGAGATATAAACGTTTTATTCTAAGGCGCGCTCATCAAGTGAGGTACCGTTTGACGCTTGCACCACTCTTGCAACTATCACTTTCTGTCATGTTACGGAAGGTGGTAACGAGCTTTTAATTAGGTGACACATAGCTCTAGTGTTTTATATAAACATGCTTCGAAAGGTCTATTTTTCATCAACTGTAGTGCTTCAGTTCCTTTTATCATGCGTAAATAGATCAGTTGCTCTGTAGGAGCATTCAAGGTCTCATCATTAAAAATTATGTGCTTTTCTCAAACACATAATTTTTAATAATAAGAATAACGAAAAACCAATTTCGATAGATGTACTTATTATTATTAGCTCATACCCAGCTGAGTCTGCTAAACCGAACAGCCTCGTTAATCATTATATTCACGTATATATATCTCTATTATATATGTCTAAGCTCTGCGCATGTTTGTCTTCGGTCTTATTAACCGCAAACAACTCACTAGTTCACAACGAAAGCTTACAGCATATGAAATTTTATATCCTTGCTGAACCGTCCGAAGTCGTCCGACCTTAACGAAAATAATAACCAATGTTATTTTATAAAATAAAATTTTACTTCGACATAATGCTGTAACTAACAAACGTTCGGTAAGACCGTATGAACAGCAGCTCTAGTCGAACTGTATGAAAAAAAGTTCCGCAGTAAATTTTTAAACTATTGAAAAATGAGTGTTTGAATGGTGAAAGCTGAGATTGGAAAAGCACTCTTAGCATAAAAATTGGCCGCGCAATTGACGTTTCTGCTTACAAAAACTTTCCTTGCAAGAAAACTGACTGAAGCGAATGACAAGTTGCAGCTTGAAAGCTTTTCACATACCAAAATCAGCCCAACAAATTGGTCGTAGTCGCTGGAGTAACAGTAAGGGGTCAATGGTAGACGTTAGGCCCAGCCGGCTAGGCCCGTTAGACCAGTCCGTTTGATCGAAGCATTGTGTGGAGGCTAAAGGCAAACGAGAATCCTTACTAAGGCCTTTACAGAGCTTTTCCAGATCCATTCAAAGCCCCTTCAGTAAAAACAGGCCGCTACTGGGTAGTCACCTATTGCCTTCGTTTGCCTCTGAACGATCATGATCTTGACGAACGTCTCTGTTTTCCATTTTCTCATGTCCAAAACATGATTTACAATTGCCAGGTAAGAGAGCTTAGACAACAGGTTAGTTATGTTGCAAATCCTCCTTTTCTGCTGCAGCATCGTCTGCTGTTGAAGAGGAGAAGAGTATCTTCACAGTGCGGCGTATCGGATAAACAATGGTTCGCCATTGACGCTTCGTCGTAACAGTTGAGATAGAGCTCTGGCGATCTTCTGAAGGTAAACGGAAAGCGGATTGCCTGTGATTAGTGACGGAAGTAAGGTCTGCTGACGTATTTCCACGTGCGTATTGTCCGGCCGATCAGAGTAAACGATCACTGGAGGTTTTAATAAAGGACAAACAGAACGAATTGAAGCGGAAGGATCGATTACCTTTAAGCTGCTCTTTTTATCAATTGCTAAATAATGATATGAGCATTGCACCTATGTTGTACTATTTGTGATTATATGTAACTGGCACTTGTTGCGTCCATTTATGTTGTATACTGTGTAGCATGTGTTAGGAACCAAAGATCAGATCCTATATGCAAACTATATTTTACCGATCAAATGCAGACTGTGCAACAGGGACATATCGTTTCGGAACTGAAATGAGAACGTAATAGCTCATCACTTCTTAAAACAAATAAATA